AGTGTGTTTTCTACAGGTGGTTTGTCAAACCCACTCACCTGTGTTTAGGCACACTCAGAATTGCAGAATGAGAATGACAAAGTGAGCAAGCAAAATAAACATTGTGAATTCTGATTTCAAACATGTTTTAAGTCTAAAAGTAGCCTCTAATGTGGGATCATGTGTGCATAATGTGTAAGGTGTGGTGTTTTTAGCTGATTATTTTAAACTGTCCCTTTAAGAACTATTTCTACTTATTTTTTTATGTGAATTTTTGTGAATCCTGCAAGCCACTGGAGACTTGATCTTTGTGCGTGGAGTAACAGCTGTCCTGCAATAGTAAAACGCTCTGAGAAAGTGTTCCTGATTATACGTTTGGTGTCAGGCTGGGGTTTGGTGAGATCGGTGCGCGTGTGGAATGAGCGTCAGGCCGTGACTTGCAGTAAATGCTTGGAGAAATGCGCCGGGAGCATTGATTAACCCAGTGAATCTGACAGAGAGTGTGTGTGACCGTATGCGCTCATATTCTCACGTCCTGCTGTGAAATACTGCGACTGCATGTCTGAGCTGACACACCTGCAGAAACTCCAGCGCTCTGATGTTATTACTGAACACACCACGCATTCTGCTCATTCTGGACTGTGACGCACTTTTAGAGGCTGAGAAAGTAGTTTTAGGTGGAACTGTGGCCTCACAGCAAGAAGGTCACTGGTTTGAGTCCCGGCTGGACCAGTTGATGTTTCTGTGTGGAGTTTGCATGTTCTCCCCGTTTTGGCTTGGGTTTCCTCCGGGTGCTCCCGTTCCCCAACAAGTCCAAACACATGTGTTATAGGGGAATTGATTAACTAAATTGGCCGTAGTGTATGTGAGTGAATAAATGTGTATGGCTGTTCCCCAGTGATGGGTTGCAGCTGGAAGAACATCCGCTGTGTAAAACATGATGGATAAGTTGGCGGTTCATTCTGCTGTGGCGACCCTTGATTAATAAAGGGACTATGTCGAAAAGAAAATGAATGAATGACTTCTGGCTTCTTACTGATATGTTATGCAAGTATTTTTATTTGTTATTGTAAATCTAGTAGTGCTTTGAGTTTAAGAAAAGCGCATCATAAAAAACATTTATTATTATAATCATTATTATAATTTTTATATTATTATTATTATTTCTAATAAAATAATTATTGTTATTATTATTATTGTTATTGTTTTTATTATTATTTCAATAGTATTATTATTTCTATTATTATTATTATTATTATTATTATTTAAACCTTATTATTATTATTATTATTAGAAGTAGTAGTAATATTATTATCATTGTTATTATTATTATTATTATTATTTCTAATATAATTATTGTTGTTGTTATTATTAATATTATTATTATTGTTGTTGTTGTTGCTATTATTATTATTATTATTATTATCATCATCATTAATATTAATATTATTGTTATTATTATTAATATCATTATTTTTGTTATTATTATGATTATTACTATTATTATTGTTATTATTATATCTAATATAATTATTGTTGTTGTTGTTATTATTAATATTATTGTTATTATTATTACTAATATTGCTATTATTATTATTATTACTAATATTATTACTACTAATATTATTAATATTATTGTTATTTTATTATTATAATTTTATTATTGTTGTTATTATTATGATTATTAATATATAATTATTATTTCTTTAACCTTATTATTATTATTATTTATTGTTATTATTTTTATTATTTTTTATTATTATTGTTATTGTTATCATTAATATTTTATTATTATAATATTATTATTATTATTATCATTATTATTAATTGTTAAATGTTTGCTAAAAGGTTTTGTAGCATAAAAAACTCACTCAAAGACAACATTGCACTGCAAACTATTAAACATGTCAACAAGAGTCACTTTTTAAACTATTTAACATCCAAAGCTTTTGAAAAAGGAAAAATCAAGATCCCATAATGCAATTCAAAAGCGTAAATAAGTTAAAAAACATGAACCACACACTGTTTACGAATATTTTTACAGAGTAGTCCCGGGCTAACTAACAGTTGTGTAATATATCCTTATGCCTGCTTCAGCCATGCTACGTATTTCTGCATTTCATGCGTCAGAATTGTAAGGTGTAAACTATTCACACTTGTAATTAGTGAAAAGTTAAAGTCAAAATGATGCGGGAAAGTGTTTTTTTCCTCTGTGCATGGTGGAAACCGGCTCGTGTTAGAATGTGCCTGAGGACAGACCATAACGCAGCACACAGATGTTTGGTGTTTTTACTGCGGTTTCCACAGAAAGGCAAAACCCACAGCACCTCCACCCATAAACACAAACATCGGATCAGTTCAGACGTCTGTCACATCTCCACACACACTGATAGTTTAATGTGTTTAATCCGCACGCATCAGTGATGTCTGGTATTGACCGGTTTCATTTCTGACATTTCTGCCCACCGCAGCTTTAATTTCAGCTCAGGGACAGAAACTTCTTCAGGGCTTTTAGGAGAAACTGGTATTACCTGTAGACCCAGAAACATCAGAGATGGCAAACACATCTCAGATCAGCATTACTTGCACTCAGAGAAGGATTTTCGCTGCACTAAAACCCAACAGTCGACTTTATCAGATGAAATGAGAGTAGCTAACTCAAAATTGACTGATAGCTAATTTTAATTAATTCTAATTCCAGCTAGTGTGTGCTGTGCAGGTAAACCTCCCTTCTCTGACCTCTAAAGGGGCTCTAGTGACAGTCGTTAGAGGTCATAGTTTTTAGCCTCCTTGTTAGAGCAACTGACTCCCATGCGGAAGATCGCTGGTTGGATCCCAGCTTGGGGCGGGTTGGGTGGTGTAAGACTGGTGGTGTTACATTGGTGCCGTGACCCGGATGGGAGTGAGGTTTAGGGGGGTGAGTGTAATAGAAGCCAGCTAGTAAATGCTGTGCAGGTAAACCTCACTCCTCTGACCTCTAAAGGTGCTCTAGCGACAGACGCTAGAGGACATGGTCTTTAGCCTCCTTGGGTGGAGCAATCGACTTCCATGCGGAAGGTCGCCGGTTCGATACAAGCTCGGGGCGGGTTGGGTGGTGTAAGACTGGTGGTGTTACATTGGTGCCGTGACCCGGATGGGAGTGAGGTTTAGGGGTGGTGAGTGTAATAGAAGCCAGCTAGTAAATGCTGTGCAGGTAAACCTCACTCCTCTGACTCTAAAGGTGCTCTAGCGACAGACGCTAGAGGACATGGTCTTTAGCCTCCTTGGGTAGAGCAATCGACTTCCATGCGGAAGGTCGCCGGTTCGATACCAGCTCGGATCAGGTTGGGTGGTGTAGGACCAGCGGGATTACATGTGCAACCATCTTAGAACTATAAAACTCCCAAAAAGTTCAACATTTCTCTCCATGTTTGACTGATTTTCTCTGTTATTCAACTAAATGATCTTTCAATTCAGTTCACCTTTATTTCTATAGCGCTTTTAATTGTGTCAAAGCAGCTTCACATAGAAGATCACATGGAACAGTGCCAGTCCAGACAATTAACATAATATACAACCAAACAATCCTTCCAAAAAAAAAAAAGTTGAATCTTTGCAAATAGATGAAATTAAAAGTGCTTTTGCATTACAAATTGAGTAAAAGTTTCTATAAAAATGACATGCATAAAATAACCAAGAAATCAATTCACCCAAATGTTCATGCAAACGGATGTCTGAAAATAAACCACTTGCTTGATCCATCAGAACTCATCATGCATGATCATTATCTCGAAGTTCGCTGTTCAGAATAGTTTTGCAGAATTATGTAAAAGGAAATAAATGAAGTGCTGGAGCTTTTTACCGCTTTTTTTATTACATGGATTATCAATTACAACATTCATTTTATAATTATCCATGTTGTTGTTACACTACCACAAAAAACACTTCCCTCCCTCAACAGCCTCTAACTTCCCATTAAAAAACTAAATAAACATAATTAAGTAAATTAATTATAATGATCAATAAATAAATGATGAAGATAAATAGATTTTTAAAAAGAAAATTAATAATAAATATGTGCTCAATATATTATTGCTCAGCTTAAGAATCAAGGGTTAACCAGCAGATAGGCTCATCTAAAAAGGGACGCCACAACTTGTCAGTGAAAGTCTAATTTTTTCCAATGTAATGCAATTAAACACTTCTTTTATCCATGCATCAAAAGGGTGGAGAGACGTGTTTCCACTTTAACATGCAGGATGAGACGTCTTGCTACTAGTAAAGTAAAGCCTTTCGGACCATTATTGAAAGGTTAGCATCTACTGCCAACCCCCCCAAAATGCAATAGTATCTGGATGAAGCCTTTATGATGCAAGCTGAGACTGCATCACTCAGCGATGCAATGTCAGACTCAATGCACTCAATGGAGCGAGTGACGTCACTGTGACGGGTAAGGTTAGGGGTGGGGTTAGGTGAGCGCATTAAAAAGCATTGGATGCAGCCCAGATTGCACTGCACCAAGTCTGCAGCCAGACCCCCCTCGAAAGATGGCCAGAAGTGGATGTATCCAGATCTTTGTCTAGTTTTAAAGGTTTTAGTCAAATAATTAAATAATTTCGGGCATTCCCGCAACAGTGGATGAGATCCGCTGGTAATTGCTTGCTGTAGTATTTATAATTATGAATAAAAAAATAAAAGCATTAAGAAAAAAATGCATAAATAAAAAGAAGTAAAAAAGTTTAAAGTTTAATGCATGAAAAACTAAATGTTAAATATTTAGATAGTTGCATAAAATGCACTTAGTATGAAATATTGTATGCAGGTTACGCAAAAAAAAAAAAAATGCACCCCCCCCCTTCAAAAAACTCCCAAAATTATTAAAAAGGGGAAAAAAGTCAAACATGTTTTATCGAATCAGATTATCGCTGCAATTCACCTAAATCAACATGCAAATGCACTTTGCTCTCTGTGCATGATGATGATCCTCCAGAAGTTTGCTGTTTGGAACTGTGCGCTTCCCCCCAGCAGAGCGCCCCGGGAGCGGGTGTGTCCGCAGCGGCGGTGGGTGTGTCTCCGGGCGGCTCCACAACTGCGGCTCTTCCGTCTGAAGTTCAGTTTCGCTCTGCGGATCTCCACGACTGGATCTGCTGTCTGGTTTTACTCCTAAACTCCGCCATTTTCCCGGTGCTGTGCAGCAGTGATGAGTCTGTACGGCTCGCAGCGCGGGCTCAACATGATGGGTCGCCGCAGCGGCTCCCGCAGCGAGATTAACGCCGGCGCCACGTACCAGTACGCCCGCAGTGAGGTGATGCAGCCGCCGCGGGGGAACAACGGCTTCACGCAAGAAATGGAGAACTTCAACCGCACTTCACCCAGAGGATTCGTCAACTTAGTACAAGTGTGAGTAAACACCTGTTACTTTACCGCTTGTATATTCACTTAAACTCCCGTGTGTTGCTCTTTTATATTCACCTTAACTCCCCCTGCATGAAAGCTATTCATGCATGGAGGAAAAGTTGGTTTTGTATTTGCACATTCGTTCAGTGACACGATCCTTATTGTTTACCTTGATACTTTGAATATTCCGTCTAAAATCGCATGTAAGTATGACTTCAAAACAACAGTAGCGCTATTTAATTGACTGTGAACAGTGCTTTGATGGTCAGTGGCTGCTAATATTATCTCACTATTTAGAATTTGCTGTACTTTTCAGAAATTAAATTATTAAGGAGAAAGTCTGAATGTGCAGATATAAAACTTTACCTCAGTGTATGATTGTATTCTAGTATTCAGGGATTCTCTAGTATTCAGGGAGTTAAAGTAAGTATAAAAGAGTGAAAAGGATGGAAAAATTGGGGAATTTACATTTACATCACAATGCATTCTTAAAGCGACAGTTCACTCAAAACTGAAAATCAAATTTACTTGCTTCAAATCTGTAAATAAAAATCCTCCATGTTGTCCCAAAACAAATTAAGTTAACTAGTTTTTACAAATTGAAGTGAATTGAACATAAAACAACAATAAAATAAATATGTTGTAAATAAAAAACAGAAAACAATTAAGTTTTTCCTAAAAAACAACAACTCAGGTTTAATTGTTATTTGTATTGTTGGTTTTATATTTGCACATTCGTTCAGTGACAGCTTGTGATTAGGGCTGGGCGATTTGACCTAAAACCAAAATACTAAATGTTATAGTATTTCAGCCTGATCTCACGAGAAAACGTAAGTATTTTACGTTTTGCCAGTTTAGTGGCTGATTCGTATGAATTCGTACGAGTTCAGTCGTACGAAATTGTTCGATTTTTAAAAAGGAGGCGTGGCATCTAACTCCACCCCTAAACCCAGCCGTCATTGGGGGATGAGCAAACCGTACTAAATTGTACACATTAGATCGTACTAAGTCATACGAATTAGCCACCAAATCAAAAAGTTACGAATGGCCGTGAGATTGTGTTGAGTATTTACATTTACTTTTACATCACAATGCTTTGTTGAAAGGATAGTTCACTCAAATCTGCGAATGAAATGTGCTCGATTCAAACCCTAAAACTGTAAAAATGCTTGTCCCAACACAAATCTAATAAGTTAGCTTAATTTTTAATTAAGTTGTCCCCCCAAAACTCAAGGTTTTTTTTGTAAAGTTGGTTTTAAATTTGTTCAGTGACAACTTGTGACACGCTCCCTATATAGTTTACCACACTACTGTTAATATTAGGTCTGAAATCGCATGCAAAACTGAAAATCAAATCTTTATACACTGTAAAAACAATCCTCCATGTTGTCCAACATGAATTAATTGACCTTGTTTTTACACATTTAGGTGGATTGAACAAAAAAACTCTTCAGTTGTCCCCCAAAAAACTGCAGGTTTTTTGTATTTTTGTATTGATTTTATAATCACAGATTTTTTTCTGTGACAACTTGTGACGTGCAGTCTATTGTTTACCATGCAGTTCTGAATATTAGGTCTGAAATCATATGCAAGTATGACTTTAAAGCAATATTAGCACAATTTAATTGACTGTGAGCAGTGTTGTACTGTGATAGTCATCGGCTGCTAATATGAGTTCAGTGTTTAGTATGTGTAAACAATAGTTTTCTGAAATTATATCACGGGGAAAGTCAGAATGTGTGAATATAAAACCGGCTTTACCTCAATTCTGTTTTACTCTTTAATATTTAGCGTAACTCCCCGCATGAAAAATATGACTAGTGAAGTTTATTAGATGCTCTATATTACTGAGGTAAAGTTGGTTTTATATTCCCACGTTCGTTTAGTGACAACTTGTGTCATGGTCCCTAAATTGTTTTCCATGGTACTTTGAATATTTGATCTGAAATCACATACAAGTATGACTTGAAAACAACACAAGCACTATTTAACTGACTGTAAACAGTGTTGTACTGTGTTAGTCATTGGCTAATAATATGA